AGTCAATCCTATAAAAGTTAGGGCTAAAGTCAGAAACTCGTCTTCAAGTCAGGTAACCAATCCTATAAAAATTAGGGTTATCTGAATCTTTTCGATTCTTAGAGTGGAGATCCCACTCTTAGTTTCACCTCGTAGATTCTCAAAGTGGAGATCTTAATTTGAGTTTCTTTTGCAACCGGAGATAGAATATAAAAATTTTCCTCCCCGGTATCGGGTTCACTTTTGCTCCAAGAGAAGGTCCGGAGATAGAATATAAAATTCTTCCTCTCCGGTGGAGATAGAATATAAAATTCTTCCTCTCTGGTGTCGGGTTCGTCTTTACCCCAAGAGAAGACACCACATTCCAACACCGAAAGTCAGCGCCTAATACGCGTTGCCGGTTAGTTCTTGACCGTGAAAAGGACAAAAGCCTACATATTCAACATTGTGGCAGGTTGTTATTAATAACATCATAATCCATGACTCACACGTACGGGGAATTTTATCCCGAATCCTAAGAAGGGATGAGTCAACGCCTAACAAGCGTTGCCGGTTTAGTCTTTGACCGATTGAAAAAGACACCAGAATCCAAGTCTGGGGATTTGTATCCCGAAGCCTAAGCAGGAATAAGTCAGGGCCTAACATGCGTTACCGGGTAGTCTATTCCCGTGAGAAAGACGAAGCCTACGTATTTAATATCATAGCACTAAGAGAGTTAACTCTCTTAGCACAACGTTACATGCGGAACGAACTTAAACAATCCGTATGCAAGCCCGATTCAAATGATAATCGGTAAAGGCACGTTAAATCCGTTGATGGCTGAGGATTTACCAAAAATCCTGAGTCTGCATCTGATACATACGGCCGGGTAGTCTATTCCCGTGAGAAAGACGAAGTCTACGTATTCAATATCGTAGCACTAAAAGAGTTAACTCTTTTAGCACAACGTTACATGCGGAACGGACTTAAACAAATCGCATACTAGCCCGACTAAAATGGTAGTCAGTAAAGGCTCGTCAAAACCGTTGATGGCTGAGGGTTTGCCAAAAACCCTATAAATATGAGAGTCATTGACGCACCAGCCCCATTAGTTGGTCTTGTAGCTTGAGGATCCAACAACTTCAGGATAAGATTCATACATACAGATGAATCAGCTTTAATAGTTGGTCCTGCAGCCCTGACATTTGGGACCACCATGCTCCAATGCCTTAAGAGTTTAAACTGTGTATACTCTAGCAAACAAACGAGTATAAACTATGTTAACGCCGGTCAACGCATTACAGCAAATGTTAACGCCAGTCAACCCGTTACAGTAAAAGTCGAGGCTGGTCAACGCATCAATGATTTCGCTAAATTAAGGCTAAGGAAAAATTTTGGATTAAAAAATGATTCCAAGGAGTTCAATTGTGATTCAGATATGAATTCTCGATAAAGATAATCAGTTCAAAGTCAACTCAATGACACGAGCCAAAACCAACTCACCAATTTCGATTCAAGATTTTGACAACGGTCAGACGATAAACGTAGCACCAAAAGAACTTTATCTATTCAACAAAACACTGAATAGGCTAAAGGCTGAAGAAGTCAAGAATTGAAGCCAGCTACCGGTCCTTTGACACCGACTGAAGGTGGGGCCTATCACATCCAAAGTATTTTAGACTCCTCTATAAAGGAATGAGACTGAAACACTTTGGTGGGGGTATCTGTAGGCGTCTAAAATTCCTATAGGTTCCCGTATGCAGCTCGAGATAGCGAGAAGACGATGAACGTCATTGTCTGAATCAAGGAAGATTATCCGATGTCGATAAGCGCATGAAGCAAATCAGCGAACCGTTGATGACATAGAAATAAGCTACTGGAATAGCCATTGAGCCATTAGCCACTAAATCGGCAAAACGACTGGCCCGTGCACTCACCGCCCATCTCTAATTGGCCCGCGGACTCATCAGTCAGCTCCAAGTGCCCGTCGTACTTGTCGGTCAACTCCAAGCGCCTGCCGCACTTGTCGGTCAACTCCAAGTGCCCGTCGTACTTGTTGGTCAACTCCAAGTGCCTTAAAGAAGCTAACGAATGTATGAAGCAAGTTAATGATGCGTGCAAGTCAACAAGACGATCAAATATGCAAAACAGCAGAAAATGCAAGTCCCAAATAATCGGAAAACACTAAAGAGTTCAGCCAACGCCAGATCTCCCACGCTAATGCAGGACAGCGGCAGCT